CCGCCCTCCGGCCACCGCCGCTGCGTGCTCCGCGGCGCTTCCCAGCGCGCCGGATCCCGGGGAATTGCGCCAGGCCCCGCCCCGCGTCGCCTCGGGGCTCCCTGGGACTTGTAGTCCGCGGCCGGGCCCGCGCGTGGGACGGCGGAGCGCGCGGGAGGCCCGCAGGGTCCCGGCCCCGGCCCCGGTCCGGCCCCCTCGGCGTCCCCGAGCCACCTGGCCCCGTCCCCTGCCTCGGCACCTGGACGCGGCGCGCCAGCCTGCCAGCGCTCTTGTTTGTGTCCGAGCGCCTGGCCCGACGCACCTCTGCGCCCGCCGACTCCCACGACCCCTGTCTGCTGGCGGCCTCACTCCCCCTTCCGTTACTTTCTGCCTCCCTCTTCTGGATATGCACACGGCGCGAGTGCTTCCGAGACCAACTGCTACCAAGACCTTCCTGAGCCCACGCCGGCGGAAGGCCAGGCTGCACCGGTGAACTGAAGTTTCCGGGGATGTGAGGTGCGGCCAGATACCACGGGGGCTTCCTCGGTATCCTTTTCCGCTATCTTTGTTTTTTAATTTGAGCAGTGGGTCTCGAGTGCCGCGAGGCTCCGAAACCCCTGTCCACTCACCCCACCCAATCCCAGGTAAACTGAGGCCTGGGGCCCCGCCGGGCTTGGCGCAGTACAGCGGGGCCCTGCACACAGAGGGCTTGTCCTGTGGGCTTGGAACAAACGCGATTTTTGGAGATTTGCTGGAGCGCCAGGCCCCTCTCCAGTGGTCCTTCCGAAACCCAATCAGGCCGGGCCAGCCCTGCTAGAAGCTTCTGGAGCCTTGCCTGGTCCCCACGCAGGCTGGGATGTCCCACCCACTGTGGTGTCCAGCCTCTTGGTTTCTCGCTCTGGCTTCCAAGATTTCCCGGACAAATGCGCTGACCGTGTTTAGACCGTGACTCGGGCCTTTCTGTGCTGTCCTTGTCCCTAACACTTTGGGTGGGTTCATCTGTGATGCACCTCTAACTGTACACTTAGAAGAAACAATAATAGCAGTCACGCTGTGACCTGTTTCCACTGTTGGGAACAATTGATAGCTCCTCTGCCTTGAAACCCCTTCTCTAAGTGGCTGGGACAGCGTCTCACCAGGCCTCCCTACATTTCTGGCTTCTCAGTCCCTTTTGTGGATGCTTTTTACTTCTCTGCCCTCTGAATGCAGAGGGCCCTGAAACATCCTGAAGCTCCTCTTTTCTAGTTGGGTGATCTCAGTCTTAGCTTTGAGCATCATATGCAGGTCATTGAATCTCAAGCCTAGACCTCGCCCTGAAGAGCAAATCCATGTCCACCTGCCAGCTTGAATCCACCTTGTCTGCAGCTCAGGTTCAACTCTTTCTATCCCCTTCCCTGCTTCTCGTCAAAATCTCTATCCCAGTCACAGGCAATTCAGGCCTCTGTTGACCAGGCTGAAAATCGTGGTGCTATCCCTTTTGGCTCTCCTTTTTTTATATCCCAAAGTGTCAGCTCGGCCTTCAAAAGATCCAGAACCCCACAACTTCTCACCATCCTGCTAAGGTTATGATCGTCCAGTCCCTGGATGAACGCTAAACAACTGATCTAGCAGTTGAACTCCCTGCGTCCCTCACCATCTCAAGAAGGCAGCCTCTTTGAGCTTATAAATCCTAAATCAGGAGATACTGTGCCTCTGGTTAAATCCCCCAACGATTCCCATCCCCATCTGGCCTCCCAAGTCTTCCAGGCTCCATCGAGCTCCTATCAAAAGGAGCTTTTTTTAAAAGTGGGGCAGACCCTCAGCTTTCCCCCTTCCTGGGACCTAACAGAGTGGCCTGCCATGTTTTCCAGAGGCTGGCAGGAAACATGAGACTCCTGCATCAGAAACAAGGGTGGTCTCATTCCTAACAGGAGCAGCCACCAGTGTACCGGCACCCTGGGCACCAGTCTCTGGGTTCCAGGTCCCACAGGCAACACAAGGGACCAGCTGAAGAGGGGAACCCTGAGCTTAGAGAATGCTTGTTCTCATAGGGACAGTTGGTGTGTCTGCCCGTCGCTCCAGGGAGAGACTGTCTTTATGACCATGGACAGGAGACACCATCCCAGAGTTATTTGTCTCCCAGAGTTATTTGCTCTACAGCATCCTTGGCAAGGTAGTCCAGAGGAAAGGCACCCATGGCTCCACTCACGGGTGTGCAAAGTGACAGGCACCAACGAAGGATGGTCACCCACATCTCCTTCCTTAGTCAGCTCTCACTCCCATAACAAAGTGCACAGACTGTGACAAACAATGGAGACTTATTTCCCGGAAGTTCTGCAGGCTGAAAGTCCCAGACCAAGGTTGGCAAGACTGGATTCTCCCGAGCCCTCTCTCCTCAGCATATAGATGGCTGTTTTCTTACTGTGTCTTCACAGTTGTCCCTTTGTATGTGTCTGTGTCCTAACTGACCCTGTCTTAACTGTGCCCCTTCTTTTAAGGACACCAGTCATGTTGGATTAGGGTCCATCCTGATGACCTTGTTTTAACCTAATTACCCTTTGTCTTAGTTACTATTCTCTCGTTGCTGAGACAAAACACCTAACACCCGAAGTTAAAGGGGAAAGGGTTTATTTAACTCACGGTTTGTAGAGGTTTCCATCCATAATCAGTTGGTTCCAAGTCAGGGTGGCACATGACAGAAGAGCAATGGTTAATATCGGTGGAAGATGGCAAGAGCAACACGGGACTTACCAGCGTCTTTTTATCCCTTTTTCCAGACTTTTTCATCCTAGCACCTTGAGCCTAGCATTGCACCAGGAATCATTCACACACTCTGGATTCAGCCACCTCTGAAAAAGCCCCATCTGGTTCTTCATGAGGCTTTCGGGGGCATCTAGACACAGCCACAAGACCCTTCAAAGACTCTGTCTCCAAACACAGTCACATTCTGCTGTCAACTTGTGAGTTTTCGGGGACACAGCTCAGCCCACGACAGTGCCTCTCCTGAAGGACGTCTCTGCTTCCAGCCCATCTTGACCTTTGTGGTCACCCTGGCCTTCTTGCACTTCAACGCACGCCGCCTCAGTACATTGCCAGGTTCCCCTGCCAGGACAGCGCCTCCCCAGCACCCTCTCTGGCTCCACCACTCCTTCCTGTACTTACTCCCAAGCCACTTGCTCAGCGAGACCTTTGCCACCTTACCCAAAGTCACATCCCTTCTCATTGACACTTTGTGTCTCCATTCCTTGCTGTGGTGGAAAGAATGATGGTCCCTGAAGAAGAACCACAAATGTGTTACCTGAAATGGCACAAGGGACCCTGCCGCTGTGCCTGCGTTAAGGGCCTCGAGATGGAGAGGTGATCCTGGGCCGGCTCCAGCGTCATCGAAGGGGTCAGAGTCAGACAAGAGATGTGATGGCAGATGCCGGGGCAGGGTGGGGGCCTGATGGTAAGATGCTGCTGTGGCAGCTTGAAAGGCAGAGGAAGGGGCCACGAGCCAAGGAGTGTAGACGTCTCTGGAAGCCAGAAAAGGCAAGAACTTAGACTCTTTCCCAGAAACCCCAGAAAAAAACCCAGCTGTATTGACCTATGCTGGACTTCTGACCTTTGGAACAACATAATAAACTCATGTTGCTTAAGCCACTTAAATCCATGCTAATTTTCCTAATAATAGGAAGCTAATACCCTTCCTTGGTTTTTTTCTTAGCACTTACTCATGTCTAAATGACCTCCTACTTATCTTGAATATGTCCATGCCGCCCATTAGAACATGAGTTCCATTGGCCAGGATCTTGTCTGTTTTTTTCTCCATTCTAACCCCAGCCCCTATAACAGTGCCTGACGCATAGTAGGTGCCTGATGCAAAGTGTGTGCCAAACTAGTGGCTTCCCTGTTAAATTGTAACTGCCATGCAGACAAGGACCACAGTGTACCTGGGAATACAGAGACTTCCCTTCAGCTGCAGAAGCTCCCCTCTCTGCATGCCAGGCACATAGTAAGTGCTCAATAAAACCTAGCTGAATTAAAACAGAAGTTGCACACAATTGGTTCTTACAGGATCTATGTCTTTATTTCTTTTGCATTTTTAAGTCAGTGTTTATTTTTGGAGTTCTAAAGATTATCTTCCTGATATGTAAGAAAAATGAGCAGTAGAATTATTTAAGGTGGCTTTAAAAAAAGATTTTCATATTTATTGGATATCATTTAAACTAATTTAGTGGAATATATAAACTCAGCATCCCTAATCCAAAGTCCAGAACTTTTTGAGCACCAACATGAGACCACAAATGGAATATTCCACACCATGAAACTTTAGTTTCATGCACAAAATTATTAAAAGTATTGTATAAAGGGGTGGGGAATTTAGCTCAGTGGTGCCACCCCCTGCCTCGCAAGCATGAGTTCCTGAGTTCGATCCCTGGTACCAAAAAAAGAAAAAAGTATTGTATAAAGTTACCTACCTTCAGGGTATGGGTCTGAGTTGTGTATGAAACATAAGTGAATTTTATATTTAAATGTGGATCCCTCCTCAAAATTTCTCATTATGCATGTACAAACATTCCAAAATCTCCCTGCCCCAAAATCTGAAACAGGAAACACTTCTGCTCCACCTGGATAAAGGATTTTCAATTTGTAATAGCTTTTATTAAGATTTTCAAAATCTCATTGAAATTGCAAATGATTCCTAGTTGAAATCCAAGTTTATCTTTCTAAAATAAAGGTACTTGTAGATCCTCAAGGGGCCCTTAAAAACTCTTAGAGAACTTTAGGGGTGACCAGAAGGTGGGGTTCACAAAGGGTAGGGCCGAGCACAAACGGAGCACTGGATGCTACTTTTCGGGGCAGTTTCCCAGTCCTTGTTCATGGCCATCCCCTACCTGACTGTTGCCTTCAGGACCCCACTCCTGCCTCTGCCCTCCCCTCCTCTTTCTTGAGAGCAGATGCACCTCCCGCAGTCTCAGCCCACCATGGTATACTGATCATGATGCTTTAATAGGTTGAGAAATCAGTTTATCTTTTTTTTTTTTTGGTACTGGGGATCGAACTCAGGACCTTGCACTTGTGAGGCTGGCAGCGGCACCACTGAGCTAAATCCCCAGCCCCAGAAATCAGTTTATCAATAAATGAATTGTGCAGGATTGGGTAGCACAGGAAAGGGTAGGATAAGACATTAGGTTATCACAGGTGGTGGGGATCAGTTCTGTTCAAGGTAAGGTTTTTGTTTGGTTGGTTTGTTGTGGATGTTGTTGTTGTTGTTTTGGTGCAATCTTCGTTACTGTGAAGACTGAAGAAGTCCTGTTTCTCAGAGTACAGGCATGGAAGCTGAGGCTCCACCCTGCCTTCTCTCTGAGCCTTTGCTGACACCACTATTCAAGAGCTCCGGTGTTGTATCGGCTTCCTGCTGCTGCCCAACGCATTGCCACAAGCAGTGACTTAAAATAGTGCCCACCAATCACCCTGCAGATCTGGGTGATGACATCTGAGATGGGTCTCCTAAGCTGTCTGCAGGGTGCTTCCATTTTTGAGGCTCTAGGGGGGCACCTGTCCCCTGCCTTTCTAGCACCAGCTTCAAAACATCGGAGCCTCTTCACATCTCTCCCGATCCTCCTACCTCTCTCTTTCATGTGTAAGGACCTCTATGACTATACAAGGACCCTTGACCCCCTCCAACAATCTCATCGCAAGACCCTAAATGTAATGATGTTTGCAAAGTTCCTTATCAGGTGAATTTCCACACGTTCTGATGTAGGGACAGGGACATTTTAGGGGAGCTTTTACTGCCTACCACCATGCTGGGAATAAATGAACACACACAAACACACAGGCTTTGCTTAGTTCACTTAACTACATCACAGGACATTCCCTGGATACAGCCACACCAACGAGTATTTACTGACAAGCTGATAAAAAGGCCTGTCTGCAGAAAATTCAAACACTGTGAACTTCCCTCATTTTCATTTGAAACACATGATTTACTTTAATGTGTTAAAATCCTTTCAAAAAATTCCAAAGGATTAGGAAGGAAACCAGTTAGGCTGAAATGCTGTTATCAATATGTTTAGTGGTTTATGATTCAGAAATATATGTGCTTCTTTATTAACATATGAATTAAGATGTAGCAGCTGGTCTACCATGCACCATGACTTTCAATCACAGAGACGCTGAAAGTCCTTTTAAGATTTCTACGACCCTTGAATATGACAGGCAAACATCTTATTTCTGTAAGGGCAAAGGTGCAGATGTGGCTCTAAACTTCCGTGCACTGCTGCCTGCCGTCCTAATGGAAGGCGAGGCTGCATTGCATTTAGATGTGGGTGCAATCGGAGGCGGCAGTGTGCACACTTGGGTCGTGTTAAGTGTACGCCTGTTGTCAGACTCTCTCCACATTAAGCACCACTCCAGTCCCTGCTGGCCCTGGCCCCAGCACCCACCACCCAACTCTGTTCCTGTGAACCTGACTATTGGGGGCAGCCCTCAGAAGTGAGTCTTGCAGGATTTGTCCTCTGTGTCTGACTCGCTTCATCTCCTCCAGCCTCACGCACGCTGCAGCACGCGCCAGAATTTGCTTCCTTTTGAAGGCTGACTGGTAGTCCATTATGCAGAGAGGCCGAAGTTTGTTCATTGCTCTGCCAAAGGATGCATGGGCTGCCTCCACCTTCCCACCTGCTGTGAGTGATCCTGCCATGAATTTGCACCAAGGTCTCTCTGAGGTCCTGCTTTCAGTTCTTGGGGGATATATCCAGAAGTGGCACTGCTGGGTAGGTCGGTAATGTCACATCAGGGCGAAGTTCAAGTTTACCAAGTTCAGTCTGATACAGGCCAGGGTGAAGTGTGCAGAGAAGTAGAAGGGGGAATTCTTCGGGCATGGTGGTGCATGTCTGCAACCCCAGCACTCTGGGAGGATGAGGCAGGAGGAGTGAAAGTTTGAGACCATCTCAGGCAATTTAGCAAGACTTTGTCTCAAAATTTAAAAATAAAATACAATAAAAGGGTCTGGGGATGCAGTTCAATGTCAAGGCCTGAGATTCAATTCTCAGTGCTGAAAAGAAAAGTTGCCCAGAATGGGCACTGGGAGGGGACTTCAGCACCCCTTTCTCAGATGGGCGAGGGGGCTGGGGCTGCCAGGTGAAGTGGTTCACCTCCCCTCCTACTGCTCCTCCAAACAGAGCTGAGCTTGGGAAGCCACCAGATACTGGACCAGCAGGGTTGGAAATCAACTGGCAACAGCCCCCAAAGCCTTGTGGTGTCAGGTAACAGAGAACAGAGGGCGGCCCTGTGACAAGAGGAAGGAAGGCATCCTGCAGAAACCCCACTGCTGAGTGGAAATGCCCTGCCTGACTGCTAGGAATACAGCCACCTAGAATGTGTTTCGCTACAGTGTTTCCACGGAACCAGCTGCTGCTACTTTTTCTATTTCCCAAGGAGGGTAATAGGCAAAGCGGCCTTGTTCTTCTGCCACCCCAAGCCACCTTCTGCACATGCTACTCCAGTCCTTGCTGATGTCAGCTCCGGGGGAATTAAGATGCATCTACAATTTGCACACCCACCTCAGCTCTTCTTCAATGTTTAAAGTGGGTATTAATAGAGACACGTGCTAAAACAATCATGTAAATCATTCCCTCTGTATGTGAAGTGCAAAATACACGATAATTCTGTTATGCATTCTTCTCTCAAAAAATAGAAGCTTAACTTGCTTACACAAATTCTGCAAACTGATTAAAAAGCTGGTTTTATACACATAGCTTTGGCTGATGAACAAATTAGACATTGAGAAATCAGATGCAAATGAGTAGTTTGCAGACACTTTTGAAATTATATAATCGGCTCCCAGGATCATGTGAAAACCAAGAAACTGCTTAAGAATGGATCTATTGAGACAGCTCAAAGGAGGATTTATGTAATGTTTATCAACTTCATTTTTTCTCATAGTCTTTGTCATCTATTTTTGTAAGCACCTCTGTAATTTAGCCTTCATTTGTTTTATAGATTATCTACTACCGTGTCTTTGGGGCTTGTTAAATTGGAGGATTTAATACATTTGGTAAACTGCTTTTTGATGTGCTCTCTGAATAGAGAATATGCAAAATGACAACCAAAAAAAGATTGCTCTTCTGTTCTTCAATTTTGATTTGAAAATAATTAGACTTCAAGTGTAGTTTCCAAATGTAGATTTAATGTAAATATTTACCAACTGCCACTGAGTGCTACCCTGGGCACCCTCTCACACTCACAGAACCTTCTGAGACCTTGCAAGGAGGTTTTTGCTGTCCACCCCAAGGCCAGGAAGACATCGACTTGTCTAAGGCCACAGCCAGAAATGACACACCAAGAATTTAAAATCCAGCTTTCTGAACATGACTACACAAGCCCTTGTCCCAACCACAGTGTCTCTCCTAATTTTAAAAACTCATATTATATTTATACCCAGTGGAGTACTACTCTGCCATAAAGATAAACTTTGATTTGTAGGAAAATGGATACACCTTGAGACATCATGTTAAGTGAAATAAATCGGGCACACAAGCTTAAATGTCACACAGTTTCTCTTATATGGGAGACCCAAATTATAAATAAAGAGATAGATAATGGGAAACAGGGAGATAATCTTTCTCACATGGGAAGGGAAATGACAGCTGGAGGAAGGAGAGGGAAGGGAGAGGGAGGGGATGAAAAGGAACGAAGATCCCTTTACAGGTACCACCTTCACACAAGGAATGCAAACATGGACTAATAAAAATTAGAAATAACATATATTGTTTGTACTTTGAGATTCTCATAAAGTAAAAAGCTTGCAACATTTAAAAAAAATGTCAGTGGGCTATTTCATCAGCATTACAAAAAGACTGTGTGATGTGGAAGATGGGCCCATCATAGACCGCATCTTGAGCAGTGCGCAGGTCCCTGTGAGCCACCTTGTGTAGTTTGGGATGTTTATACTGCCCTAGCTTCTGCCTTCCCCGAAGGAATGGTTTTTTTGATTGAGTCATGTGACGCGTCCACATGTAACCTCCGTGTAATCTCCATGTGATCGGTTCTGTGAAGA